CCGACAAGCGGTTGTCATGTTGAGCAACCCTATCCTGCACCTCCTTTATCTCTTTTCCGAAGTTAACGTGAATGTCCTTCACGAGGAGCATCTGCTCTTCCTGTCGGCAGGCCTGTTCCTCCTGCTGCTCTTTTAACCAACGGGCCTGCTTGTCCTGTCGGCGAGCCTGTTTCTCCTGCTGCTCTTTCAACAAACGGGCCTGTTCCTCTTTTCCACCCCGCAGCTGCTCTTCCAATCGGCGTGCCTGTTCCTGCAGCATCATCATGAGAGCACCTAAGTCAGGTGCTGCAGGTGTAGAAGCTTTTGACAGGCCACCCTCCGTGGCTGGCAGTTGGCCCTCCGACGTCTACGGCATTGTACCACCAAATCGTTTCTGGTCCGTCTCCTGCTGGCGTTGACTTCGGGTCCTCCATTTCGTCCTTAGGTAAAATCGGCATGATTTTATCCCACTTCTGACACCAATTGTTATGAGCTTACGATTCGTGACAATAGAAACTGCCGATTGAATTACCAAAATTAACAGTTTAATTGCCGAACACCAATTAAAACTTAAAACACACTAATAATTAAACGCACTGATCACTTTAGTTCACTTTATTTCGCCCCGAAGCTTCTCGTGTATCGCCAATTTAATACAGCTCCGATCGGCTTTATATAGGCTTTTTCCAACGAAACATTCAGAATATTTCAGCAAATACCGGCCCCGACCGACCAGGTGCAGAAAGTTCGAGTGTGGGGCTTTCCAGAAATCTTAATTCTTCTATTCGATACTAGATAGCGCTGTTGGGAGAGTTCTAGAAAGATCTTGACACTCCTACTCGTATCAAGTAGCAGAATACTTGATACCAGATGGCGCTAGTGCCATCAAATGTGGCGCGCGCAACAATATCAATGCTATGTTGCAAACCCGTAACATTAATTGCTATGCAGATGACAGCACTGGTGATGCTCTGTACACCGGCCGTGCCAATATTTCTCGGGAAAGCGTCTCCGAGTCCCGGTACTCGGAAACTTGTGTCTGAAGTCGAGTCTTGGCTGAACAAAGTCTCGTATTGGGGGCGACTAAATATAGTCCAGTTTAACCCTCAGAAGACACAAGTTTGCGCGTTAATCGCTAAAAAGTACCCCTTTGTCGCATCTCCTCAGCTAGTATCGGAATCCTCGGCGTCGACATATCGAGTGACGTGCAGTTTCGTGGTCACTTGAAAGAGAAGGCCAAACTGGCCTCTAAAAAGCTTGGCGTGCTCAGCAGAGCAAAGCAGTATTTCATGACGGCACACCGCCTGCAACTTTACAAGGCGCAGGTTCGGCCGCACATGGAATACTGTTCCCATCTCTGGGCTGGGGCTCCCCATTGCCAGCTCCTTCCACTTGACCACATCCAGCGCAGAGCGGCTTTCCGATCGGCTTGATTCACTGGCGCTGCGAAGAGATGTTGCATCTCTTTGGATTTTCTTTCGCTTATATCACTGGGAGTGCTCTGAGAAATTGTTTGGATTAATCCTAGCCGCCAAATTTCGTGAACGCACTACGTGGCAAACGTCCCGATACCATCCACACCATTTGGATGCTTGGCGATCCACCACTGTACGCTTCACAAGATTTGTGGACGATAAACCCAACACCTTGGGACAGATGGTCGCCCTCTCGGTGATTGAAGAACATGTTGCCGGATTCGAGAATCACCTTGTCCTCCCCTCTCTTCGACCTTTGATAATTCTACAATATCCCAGCGCAACTTGTCTTTCTCTTCTTCCAGCTACAGGATCGTCTCGTCAGTCCTCAGGTATGTAATTCTTCTTCTGGAATAATTTGCCAAGTCGAGTCATTTTAGGTGGCGACCGAACCTCCACAGGAGATTTTTCACCCCCTGCCCCGCCGTTACCATGGTCACCACCGTAGCCAGAAATAGCGGGGCTGCCGGGGCTGGGGACCGTCTATTTGTGTCGTTGCTCATGGGGGGTATATTGCCGTAGTTGCCATGCTTGGCGAGCGGGTTGGCAATCGCAGTCTTTTTGTTGTCCAGTTGCTGTTATCAGGAAGATGCTGATGCCCATCTCTTGCCTGTTTCCCTCTGTCGTCTTTTACGACACCCACGGGAAGATATGGGGTAGTGGATATTCTTAACCGCCACCACACATGCATTGCATGGATAATATACTATATAGGGCAATGCATTGAGTGCACAGAACACAACACTATATTATTATTATCTATATAAAATAAAATAAAATATTCCTAAAATAGTCCTAGATTGAGTGAATATCGTAAGTTTGTAAGTGGCGGATTGGAATATGTCTTCCGATAGATGGCGGTATAACCAGCTCGAGCGATGTCAAAAAATTTAATCCACTAAATAAAAATGTAATGAAAAAATAAAAATTTTGTGTATAATTATTTAGCTATGGTTGTCAATCAACGTTATCAATTAGAGCCAGATTGCTCTTTTCGGGATAAAGTATAGTAAGAATAGAGCTAAACCACTGTAAAAATTAGTGCTTCTTTATCTACCTAGCCCGAAAAGGGCTAAGGTGGCAACACCAGTCGGCCGTAGTAGAAAGTAATGTAACCATATGTGACAGTTTCTTACCTTATTGTCAGGATTGGCCCGTGATTTGATTACTGATAGATACATATAATATACATTCGATGTTAAAAAAATTTGGCAATATTTGAAGAACACTTCTAAATAACATGATTATATTTATTACAGATTTACAGAAAATAAATATCTTTGTACGGAAAGAAATATAATACAAATGCTAATTAAATAGTCCAGCACCCTCACATCATACGTTATCTTTCTTTTTGCCTTTACACGTACTCATATACAATTGTTAAGGCACTACATATTTGTTAAATACTAAGGTTAGTTAAGATTTCAAACATATGTTATTTCTTTAATACTTCGTGTCCTAAAGTCAGACAATCAAGTATTTGTTTTAGGTCTTTTTTCTATAGAAATTAAAGATTGTTGATATGATGGCTGGTGCATTTTATAAGATAACTAAATTCGTGTACATTTATGATAGCAGGTGGTTTACCATTTTTTTACTTATTATAAGTCTGTGCACAATCCAGGTAGGGGGGGGGGTAAGCAGTGATGAACCCCTAAATGGTAAATCACACTGTCTTAGCTTAACAAAAGCCTTCTCCTGCCATGAAGATGCACAGATTGTAATTGGACAGAAAGACAGATGTCAAATTATTCCATCCTTTATTTAATCCAATACTATTTAGTAAGTATCTTTCGTAGGATTAGGATTTTTATCGGAATTTTTATTTCTTCTTGACAATATTTGATGATGTTATTTTTCTAATGCTTCTTATCCTTTAGTTGGAAACGGTCAAATGTATTATACGAATCACATGTAAAAATATGGAGCTGAAGTTATTGTTTTTAATCATTATATTTTCTGCACCTAAGAAACTATAAAACTCACTGTAAAATACGCATCCTCACGTTTCAAATTTTCTTTGATAAAATCTTCGATCAACAATACCAACTAGTAACGTGTCACGTACAAAATCATAGCTAAATACTGTCCGCGTGAATATAAACTTAAACATCTACATTTGTTTACAAAAGAAATGAGACAAAAAATTAAAATAGTTTTAAATTCAACCTGATTACAACCATCGCATCTAATAATAAAGTTACAAATCTTACGAACATTAGTCACAAAAAAAGAACAAAGCTATACAATACCCCTATCATTTGGAAATGAAAAGACATAAATTAAATGACATTTAGTGTGAAATTAACCCTAAGTAATTAAAGTAATAACAAATAAAGTTCTATTTCCCGTTATTACCTTGCGAGCTACGTCATTTTGTTATGTTTCTGTTTTATTCTTCGAATTTAGTCCAGGAAGTATTGAGTCGCGTTGAACACTAAAATAATTTATAATATGATCATAAGTTCAAGTTCATTGGTTATCTGGAAGAAATTGCTATCAGCAATAAGATCTTCCATTGCATACTTTTAAAACGTGGTAGAGTGATGCTGCAATTATATTAGTAGAACGAATGGGTTGGCTCGACCGGGGAAGAAAGGTAGGAAAGCTAAAATAAAAAAAGCCAAGTATCTATTGGAATTACACAAACAAAGACAAAAGTAGCAATTACCATTATTTAAATTTTGGTAACGTAATATTAAAAATTATTACAATACAAATCTACTTCATGCGTCTATGTTCTGTTTCACAAATGTTTGCGCGTGTATTGGTCAACATTGGCAAAACATTTGTAGAGGTGGTTATGATTGGTAATTTTGTTTCAAATATGATATTATTTGTTAGTTTAGAGCTTAAAATATAACATATTATACATGTCATTACCGAAAGTGAGACACTCCTCTTAAATTACTTTTTCAGGCATTATTCTTGCAACTTTTAAATACACATCGCGGCATTGTGAAACGTGTTTACATTGGCTGTGTTTCTAGTGAACTAAACGAAATAAGACCTCTCGTCTCATCTGCGCTCTTATTTACTAATATGGGTTTCTTGCACCGACCCGACATCTAGTTAGTATTGTTTATCGAAGGATAAAATACACATATATCATTAAAGCAAGTGCTGAGAAAGTAATCAAAATTATCGTGGGGTGATATACTTTTTATAAATTATATCGTTATAACCACATGGAAGTAACTTTTAATGTTTAGTTTAATTCATCATTATACGATTGTAACGTCTTATGTGTATAAGACGTTATTATATCAGGATTGTGTGTGCTTGAATTAAAAATAATCTTAAATAAAATATTTATAGTAGTAATTTTTCGGCTAAACAAATTACGGCTGAATTTTTAAGTACTAGCTGGTCACACTGGTAGGAATATTAGTGACATTTTATTCTGTGGCGACAGACGTCAGGTGGAGATGTCTTAGAGTTTGTGTTGTAAAAATAATTAATTTCACGACGTTTTGTGCAACAATTATGTGAATAATGAGATGAAAGTGTAAATAGATATTAGTTTAGTGCTCGCAAGTGATTATGGCGCATAGTGGTGGTGTTTTAAGTTCGGATATATCTCGAAGAAATCCACAAGATGAGTACGAGCTGGTGCAACGGATTGGTTCGGGCACCTATGGCGATGTATACAAGGTAGGGGGCCTTTCTAAACTTTACTTTACCACTCATCGCGTCGTTAAATAATTCTATTATTTTGGCATGTCTCAGAATCATGCAAGCCGCGGACGAATAGTAACGGTTGTCGGTTGCATTACGTGAATACGAAATTGGTTGTTCTTATGTCAGTTTAGCTGAATAAATTATTTATATAATTTAGTTTATGCGATGATAATATAATTTTTTTTTCAAAAACAAAACTACGTGACCTTGATGCTCATAGTCGCTTTATATTCTAAGGTAGGAGGAACACACCCATGTGTTTATACCCATTGACTTGACAAAGCATTCGTCTTAAGACATTGCACATCCTACACGCAATACAATTCTGACGTCGAATTATGAAATAAAAATAAAATAAAAAAGTAATAAAAAAGTTAGTATCCTTGAGCTTCAAACAGTACATGTATAAATCCTACAGACCTGTGTTAACTCTAATCCAAGAGAAGTTAATTCTATGATCTCATTGTGTACTTTTTGCAAGCCTAATGCTTGTTATGTGGTATACAATGATTCATAACACGTTATAACCACTTAATTTGAGATATTATTTTTTCCTTAGAAATCTGAAAATAGTTATGAGAATGAAATAGATATACATAGTATTTACATTACTATTGTATTGTTATTGAGCTACAACATTTTTTCTGTGCATTTTCAGATTAGAATACTATATAAAATATCCGAATCATAATACAACTATATGCTGATAGCTTATTTGCATGTGGATGATTGAAATTGTAAAAAAAATATGTCTGAAAATATTAAATTATTTCCACATATTTGTGGAAAAATAATAGCATTTGAAGTTGGGCTTTTAGAAGGTCTTTTATATGTTATATTTGATATTTAAATAAAATCTTTGTTATTGTTGTGATAATTATTACACTAAAATAGACTGTGTGTCAGTAGCTTAAAGATTTACTTTCATTTATTTGACTTTTGCGGAATGCAGGAAATAGAGTAAATGGGGCCTTGCACTCTATTGTGAAGAGTCAAAATGTGTCGAAAAAAGGCACGTATGGCAATTCACAATGCTGTGTTGGTCCCTACTTAACGTATGGTAGTGAAAGTTGGGTGTGGCAGAAGAAGCACGAGAGTAGAACAAACGCAGTAGAAATGCGGTCTTTAAGGAATATGTTAGGGCTGAATCTGAATGACAGGGTAAGAAATTGTGTAATAAGAGAAGAGTGTGGTTTGCAAGATGATGTTGTGACCAGGATTAAGAAAGGAATGCTTCGGTGGTTTGGTCATGTGGAAAGAATGAATGAGGAAAGAGTGACATAGAAAATTTATGGTGCAGAAGTGAATGGCAGAGTCGGAAAGGGACGTCCTAGGCGAAAATTTATCGACCAAATTGGCGATTTATTGAAAACGGGCCAAATTAGGAGTACCCTTAACCGACGAGCATGTATGCGTAGGTGTATGGATGTGAAGGAGGCGAGAGAGGTGTGTCAGGATCATGCCAAATGGAAGTCTGTAGTCTCTGCCTACCCCTCTGGGTGACAGGCGTGAGTGTTTATATGTTTTATATTATTTGACTTTTATAGAACCTGCAGGAAATTGTGATGATTTTTCTTATGAAAGTGTTACACAATATTTGGCCTAAATTATTCCAGATTACCTATATTATAGATATATAGTTTCATTTGTATACTCATATTGCTCAAAGCATGAAGCAGTGTTTCCAAGTCAATTGGCTAAAATAGTGTAATAATTACTGACATCATTGAAACAATGCATATTATTTAACAATTGAAAATGCGAGGCCTTGCCACTGGCATTACTTCCTGACTAGCATAATAGTGTTTAAGTAATTTTTTAAATATTTATTGAAATATTTTTTGTTTTAAAAATAGTGAGGTAATATATGCATACATAGTAGAGCCATTCTGCAGCTATATTATGGTTGTATCACAAATGGGTCAGTTCGACTATGAAAGGGCCATGCTCTCATAGAGTAACAGAGTTAAATAGTGTTTAATGTTTTGTATGGTAAGTATATAGACCCGAGAACTTCTTTTTACTGAAAATTAGGAGATTAGAATAGATAGAGAGGATGGATTTAGATGTCTTTGGGTCACAGAATCCACTTACTATCAGGTGGGCTGTGTACTTGTTTGTCGCCCAAATTGTTAAGAAAAAATCCAAATCTGTATTGATCAGGGGATTATGACATATATGTATATATCAGTGCTGACTGTTGATGGATATGCTGAATGTCTGAATGGCCATGTAGAGCTGGTTTTAGAGAATCTATTTTCGCATATCACTGAGTGGGTGATATCACAGCCAGCAGAGTTAAATAATACAGGAATTGAATATCAGCATCTTCCTAATTTTACCCAAATAGCCCAGATGGTGGCTACTTTTAGATGCACATATGTATGTTTGCTTCCTGTTCCTTTGACATACTGTATATTGCTTGATAGATATTTTAATTACAAGGTTTGAGTTGTCTTGTTATCTCAATACATTAAATGGTAATATTTAATAATTAAATTATATATATTGACATTTTCAAAACAGTGTTCTTATGATTGTGTTAATTTATTAATTTACAATAGGTATATTGCTGAACTTGTTTACTTTGTTTTATTGTTTTGTTTTCAATTTCCTGTGCCCACAACTTCATATATATCTAGTTTTTTTAGTTTAGTAATTTATTACCATACTCCCTTTTCTAAACTGGGTTATGTTCAAAGTTTCATGGGTTTTAATTTTGTTTTATTTAAAAATAGCTTAAATTACTGCTTATGCATTAGCTATGTGCTACTGCTTACATCAGTTCCATCAAAATCGGTTTAGCTGTTTCGGAGATTAGCCAAAACAAACAGACAGATAGATAGACAGACAATTTTTTTTAACTTTTTTGTTATAAATACCATACATACTTTCACATGCATTTAGTAAAAAGCTGTTATTTTTAAATTACAGACACTCCAATTTTATTTATTTGTATTACAAGTACAAATATGGATAAAAAAATTGCACAAATATTAATAACCATAGTAATTACCTCAAGAGTTGTTTTACCATTTATTTTAGGAAATGTATTTGTATTAAATAAGTGACAAAAAAGTATTTAAATGAAATTATGTTCCATACTCAACTGGACAATGTAAAGACTAAATTTTGTCCATCAACTGTGGAATATAATGTACAGTCCTTACGGGTCTCTTTTCACATCATAAAGGGTTACATGTCTAAATGAAACTACTTCTTATGGATTTTATCATGTAAATTAACTTATTTTATATTCCCGATGTTTCAAGTACTGTATAGCACCAAAGGTCACAGAAAGACTGTGATGGTGCACCTTTCAATGTTTTCATGGCTACCTTCAGTTTTAAATTATTACATAGTGGTGGATTGCATATGCTCATATGAAGTTTTTCGCACAATAAGCTATTTTTTCCTTTACCTCTGATGATCTTGAATCCACTGTCCCAATTAAAGTACCATCACTAAACCATGCAATCAATTAAAACTAAAATATTTTCATAATTTAGCAAGTAAACATACAGACATTCTGAACCAACTTTACATAATATTCATAACAATATATTTAACTTTACCTTACATTTTTATTAAATGGACATTGGTGCATATTATGTTTGTTTTAACATGCTAAATGTGCCATAGAATTAGAATATTTCTTTGAGTACATTATAATTACCTGCCTTGTTCATTAAGCACCCTGATTGCTGGTTAACTTTTTTTTTTCATAACCTTTATCCTATAAATATTACACTTTGCTCACAGTTTGTATTTACATAATTGTTAATGCTTAACAAATAAATTGATGTCTACAGTACCAGGTGTATATGCATGAAACTGGAATTTCTTTATAGATGATGCTATCCGTCGGTTTACGGACCATAGGACTGCTTCTGTAGTGCCATAATCTGTCTCTAACAGCTGACGAAGATTTTCAACACACATCAACCCAAGTGCCATACACCGGTATATTTTTCTATTACCTTAAAAATGTCAAGTTTTGTGCCAACAAACTACGATTTGCGGACAGCATTGATTTACTGTTATCATTTGAAGAAAACTGTTGCATAATTGCATCCAATGCTAGTCGCAGCTTGCGGTGAACATGCTCTTGGTAAAACACAGTGTTTTGAAAAAATCGAAAAAATTAACAGACAACGTAGTCATTATTGGATGTAAACGAATATAAATACGCCATATTGGATGAAGATGATAGTTAAACTTTATCTTGCAGATCAATTGAATGTGCTACAGAAAGCCCTCTCCATTTGTTTAAAAGCCATGGGAAAGATTCAAAAGCGAGAAAAAGAGTTCTGAATGAACTTATCAAAAGCAGCAAGAAAATCGAAAAACCACTTGTGAAATGTTGCTCAACAAATATGAAAAATTTCTCCATTGCAAGACCAAATTGCTTTGGAAAGAAAATAGTGCTCTGTGTTTGGTGGGATCAGAAGAGTGTAATCTATTATGAGCTGCTAAAACCTGGTGAAACCGTTAACACTGATGGCTACCAACAACAAATGATCAATTTAAATTGAGCCTCACGTGAGAAAAGATCGGAATATGAAAATGACAACACAAATACATAATAATTACGGTTTCATACTTCATTAATCTTCACACTTGGCAGGCAATTTGACAGTGCAGTATCAGATGTCTCGCACCTGTAAAATTGGTGCCCGTCGGTCTGAGTGTTATACATCTGACGTAAACGAGTTGGATATACCAGCATCTATTGGAAGCAATAAGAATTTTCATAATATGATCGTCATCATCATCATTGTCATCATATTACACGTGATAGAGCCATGTTGCAGTTTTATTAGTAGTGTAGTTGAGCATGAATGGGTCGGCTCAACAGGAGAAGGACCACACTCTCATAGAATACCAGCGTAAAATTGCAGCTTAATGCTGCTGTGTATCGTATGGTGTGTGTAGAGAACCGGAGACCCTTTTTACCGGAAACGAGGCATAAT